TCTAACTTTGAAAAGATGCAAAGCTTTCTAAAGAATGAGTTTGAACTCTTATTTGCTAATTTATAAATATCTGCTCCCCAAAAGAATCAATATTGTTTCCAGAACAAGAACTGGTATGCCAGAACAACCATGCCACTAACTGGAATGATAAACTTCTCTGCATTACTTTTTCTAGTATCTTCATTCAAACTCCCTGATTATATTTAGAGCTACAAATGACCAAGGAGCTGTAATTATTAATAATATTTTGCACTTCCATAGTTCTTTCTAACTAGACCTAGCCAATGGTATGCAAGGGCTCATGAATTGTGCATGAAAACCTCAGTATCTGGTAGTACTCCTGCTTCAATAGGCAAATGGAGACCGACAGAAGCGAGTTTTATGGTGGTAGTTCCTGAAATGCTCAGAAAGAGCATTAAAATGAATGAAACCTTAATTTTTGCTTACTGACGGGGCTGAGATAGTCCTTTGTAAAAGTTAGGCAAGTGCTTGCTGGTGCTACTTACTTTTAGGAACAGCACAATAACATAAAGGCTCTGCCGCTGCCACGTCTCCTTAGCTCCAAGCACTGCTGGAATGCCCATGGGCACAGGTTTCCCAGGGAGTGCATCTTAAATGAGTTTTGCACAGTGCAGGGCACTATACTTTACTGATGATACAGTACTGACAATAGATTGAGCCCCATATACTTGAAGAGGAGAATTACCTGTCGTGCCCACAGGAAAAGAAGAAAATCACTGCCTCCCTACACTCAGTTCTGCACTTTAATAACCAGAACAGCAGTCACAGAAAATTACATACAGGCTATAAACATCAACTATCTACAAAGGGATGGGATCTCAGCATTGCTGCTGTTTCTCTAAGCAGAATGTCCTAGGTGTTTTACCGACAAGGTGACACTAGTGTAGAACCATGGGAGTTGCATCCTCAAACTGCCTTTTCTTTTATGTGGGTGTCAGTGATTCAAAGTACTGATCACCTAAGTACCTAAGCACAGCAGCTAGGTGAGGAAACAGTTAACTCAACTGTGCTCATTCATGTCTGTTCATATACAGTAAAACAAAAACAGACAGGCAACTGTAGTCAATCAGAATCAATCCCAGGGGGTATTTTTATTAGATTTTTGCCAGAGCTGTAGCATTTCATCATCTAGAAGTTTCTAATCAGTGTTATAAAAACATAAAAAATATTAAAGTCACTTGAAATTATTGAGTTTCATGGAAATTGTGGGAACTCCTTCCAATCTACGCCATCAGATACACCACCTGATGAGTGATCACTTTTATTCCATTTAACTGTCTTTTCGCCAATGCAGGAAATAAAATGTCTTCCTACACAGCAGAGCCTACTGCAATAAACACTATTGTACATTTGGAAAATATGACAATCAAGGAAGTCAGTGAACTATTTGCAACTGCAGTTTTTTATTTTTTTCTAATTTTCACTAATAGCTTATTAGAATTTGTTTATTTTAACAGGTTTCCTAAAATCTGTGGTGTTGGGAAGTTAAAAAAAGCCAATATTCCAGCAGCTTACACCTTTGCCTGAAGGATTTTCTGCCGCACAATGGTACTCTTGGTACTATTAGCTCAGGACAAAAACATAGTAATTTGACTATGCTAGCACACAACAACAATAATATAACAAACAAGTCATTAGCATCCATAGGCTAAAAATAATGAAGAACCTTACAAACAGGGGTGAGGTAAGTCTTAATCTCCCTACTACTTCTGTAGGTGCTCAGGAAAATGTCTGTGAGCTCTGCATGGGGACGTCTCTATGAAGAAAATGTTGCCTTAAACAGAAATCAAAACATGGGTTTTAAGTTAATTCTGACTAGCATTTTTTTGTACATTTGTAACATCAGGTTCCCAAATTTCTGTACGTATTTCAGTCCATAGATCTCATTAGGAATCTATGGAAATCGATGAGTGACATACTCTTGAGGATCTATTTTTAGGCACTTAAATGCCTTTAGAAAAGCAAAAAAATTATCTGTGACCAAATCAATGCTCTTGCTTAATCTTCCTACCAACACACCTATAAGAGCATGGGCTTCTCAGATAATGGTAGAACACAGTTATTATTTCCATGCTTTGTTCTTTTTTGATTTTGTCCATTTTGGAGTTCTTGCCAGAAAAATCCCTTTAACTTGTATACACATCTAGGTTTTTGTTATAAATACAGTTCTTAGCATGTATAAATGCATTTCTCTCCACCATAAAATAGGCTTACCGTATGCTAAGCCACCAAATGGAAAGTTAGACAAGAAAAGACAGATTCAAATATAGACTGTAAAGTACAAAAAGACTCCTGAAAAAAAGCAAAAATCCCTAGGCTGGTACAGTGCTTCTAGATTACTTATTCCACAGAGCCACAAGGTGGTCAGGAACACCGGCAGCGGTGACAGATTCAGAAGGAATCCACCTCAGGGGAACAACTAAACCTATTTTATAAAGCAAAGGGAGCTTATTTTTCTGAAAAAAATCTGGGGAGTTTGCTCAGGAAGCTGCAATTAAACCAGCACTGAGAGAAGCATCTGAGCCCACTCAAATGATGCTTGAAGAGCCCAGCCCCAGCTGACCTAGCATTAGTATCTCTCTTGCCACATGACTGTTAGCATCTTCTTACCACCTAACTACTACAGGCACCAACCAGCTCCTGTTAGTAGCCTTCAGACAGTCAGTCCAAGTCTGAAGGGTAGAATGGAAGCAGGATACTGTGTAGGAAAGGACGGCAGAGAGATGGCTCAGGAACAGATGGCAAGAGTTAGCAATTAGAAGGAGAAAGAAAAATGAAAACTAGCAGTGCAAGTTCCCTAGGCATACGCCAGACACCCCTTCTGTCACCTGGCCCTTCCATTACACTGCCATCCCCAAACTTTGCTCTATGTGACAAGGGTCAGCCTCACTCTGCTCTCATGAGGAACCTAGCACAGACTTGGCTCAAAAAACAACAGGTAGTTGGAAAGGCTCACGGATATCCAGCAAAAGCCACAGCTGTGTGGAAGGCTTGATTAGAGGCAATTCTTTCTGTGGCATGAACTGGCCACTGCTGGGCTCCACAATTCTGCAGAAAACACTTTACGTAATTCCTGTTATTGGAAGTATTTTAATAACTAAGCATGTGAGGTGTATGTGTTTGTGGGTGCATTTCAAAGGCGTTCAAAAGTTGATGAATATAGAGTTGCCACAGGTAAATCCTGGGAAATGAAAATCAATCCCTCTTTCTTGCCATACTCATGTGACTATAGATAAGCCTTCACTAAGATTACAGCAAGAATAACATTCAAAGAGCTGCATGCTCCTGCAGAAGGGAGACATGCTCACCTTAAG